GGAACTCTCACTTTTGTTACCTTCAACCTGCAAATGTGTTTTCCATAGGTTTGTGCTCTTGTGAATTCTGTTTACAGTATTCTATCACATTTCCCCGTGTTCCTACATAGTCTCCACTTACCGTTTTTAAATTGCTATAGATGTAATATAATTCATTAGACCATTCTCTCTCTTTTTAAAAAAATGTTTATGTATTTATTTTTGGGAGAGAGAGCACAAGTAGGGGAGGGACAGAGAGAGAGAGAGGGAGGGAGACACAGTATCCAAAGCAGGCTCCAGGCTCTGAGCTGTCAGCACAGAGCCAGATGCAAGACTGGAACCCATGAGCTGTGAGATCATGACCTGAGCTCAAGTATGACACTTAACTGATTGAGCCACCCAGGCACCCCTAGACCATTCTCTTAATGTTAGACAATCAAGTTACTTCTGTTTGTTGGCCAAATTAGATATGCGATGGGGAACATCTGTAAATTACATAGCTTTTGGTTTAATTATTGACTTAGAGTTAATAGCTAAGGAACTCAAATGAAAGGATGTGAGTCTCTTTGTGGTATTTGCTATTATTATAATATCACTTTTGGAAATGTTATGTCACATTGTGTAGGTATACTGTGGATAATACCATTTTAAAGCAAATTTGTTTCTTTATTAGGTATTATATGGTAAGTCAGCGGTATGTCAAGACTGCTCTGCTTTGCATTTTAAAAATTCCTAGGAAGAGTGAATATTTTGTATCTCCCCCATAAATTGTATGCTCATGTCATTTACACAGTTGTCTCTAGGGATCTTAATGGATATATTTGGATGTGTTGATACATAGACCTCTGTGGTATACTTGCCATTTAACTTGAAGCTAATCAGGAGGAAAGAGACAAATCCAGATTGTGGAACATTCCATAAGACAACATAAATGTGTCATAAAAAGAAAACAAAGCTGTTCTAGATTAAGAAGGCTAAAGAGACACAGCAACTAAATGCAAGGCATGAGCTCTAAGTAGCTTCTGAAAAAAAAATTTTTTTTTTTCAACGTTTATTTATTTTTGGGACAGAGAGAGACAGAGCATGAACGGGGGAGGGGCAGAGAGAGAGGGAGACACAGAATCGGAAACAGGCTCCAGGCTCTGAGCCATCAGCCCAGAGCCTGACGCGGGGCTCGAACTCCCGGACCGCGAGATCGTGACCTGGCTGAAGTCGGACGCTTAACCGACTGCGCCACCCAGGCGCCCCAGCTTCTGAAAAAATTTAAAGCCCCAACAACTATAAGAGGTATTTTGGGGGAGGACAATTGGAGAGATTTGAAAATGAACTATATGTTAGATAATGTTACAGCAATGTTCAATTTCCTGACTCTAATACTGTGGTTTTGTAGGAGAATGGCTTTGTTCTCAGGAGATGAAGGCTAAAGTATTTAGGGATAAGGTGTCACTGTGTTTGCCACCTTCAAATGGTTTAGCCAAACTACATAGGTTTATATCTTATTATATACTCTATATTAATAATATTATGATTAAAACATGATCATAATATTAATATTGTAATTATAATATACGGTTATACTATGTTCGTGATGTAAATAAATGTAATAATACTTTATTGGTCTGTATTATTATGTATGTCTATAAATAATAGAAATTATTCATGATATATTTAATATCTAATCTATTAGCTGATTTTTATATTCACATCTGTATACATTTATAAATCCTGTCACACTCACACCACACACTCACATATACACGTGTGTGATGCATTACCCCACAGGTGCATTATCCCACAGGAACTGCATTTTAATTGAGACCCTTGACAGCAGCAGGAAATGCTCAAGGGACCGGTTTCTGCTGGTGACTCCAGGCCCGGCAGGGAGGTTCTGTGGGGCTGAGGAACCCTGCGCCTCCCCTCATGATCCAGGCATGTGGGTGACAGGCACAGAGATGCTCTGGCCGGACCCTCGGCTTCCCTGTCCAGAGGAATGTGGGAGGGAGTGTGCTGACCGACCCGGGGCCCCGTCCCCTTTCTCCTATTGCCTGTCCTACTACTACTGTGTACATGGCAGGTGGGGAGGTCCTCAAGGGAGCATGAGGTTTACCTGTGTTCTTCCCCTCCTATAGCCTTCTGTTTTCACGCATCTTTGACACAGAATGTAACTCATGAGGCAGTGTGGATGTGCTCTGGGGGCAGGAGTGGCAGAACCTTTGGGGGAAAGTTCAGTCTGACAATCAGACTAAGGGGAATTATTCTTGGCTGTCTGTCTAACCTGTCCCCAGGACCCTCCCCTCACCCGCCACAGACATTAAACAGCTTCTCTCCAGGTGTGAGTGCACCCCTCCAAGAGATCTTTAAAAATCGGTGGGGTTAAATTAATGGGATGCTGTGTTAACGTATCAAATCATTGGAAACAGAGTCTAGAAGTTTGATTTGGTCCCTGGTCATTTCTGTAAAAAGTTGAGAAATGAGGCCTTCAGGGATACCTGTAACCCCCGTTCCAGCAGGACTCCCTTGAGGAAACTAGATTGGACTCATCATGAGTTTCACTGGAAACACAACGTTCCAGGGTCAAAATGACTAGTAAGCTTGAGGGATTTGCAAATCAAATTGCACCTTAAATGCAATAGGAGGCCAACTTACTATTTCAATGTGTCCCATGGGGAATCCAGTGAAGGCAGTTAGAGGTTGCCTTTTGCAGAGAATTTCCATCCTCTGGCCTCAGCTGCCCAGGCCTGGAAATTGGCGTCTGGATTTTTGTAGATGAGGTTTGTAGCAAGTAAGGGCTGCATAGATTCTTTTTTCTTTTTCTTTTTTTTTTTTTTTTTTTTTTTTTTTTTTTATTAACCATGGTTTTTTTTTTCCTCCTTATAAAAATGGTAGAATATTCTGAATGCAGTGAAAAGTAGGAAGCAGAAATGGAAGTCACCTATCATTGCACAATTGGGTGATGGTTGCCAGATTTCTTGGTGTGTGTGTATGTGTGTGTGTGTGTGTGTGTGCATGTCTCTGTGTTAAAAAAGAACTGGAAAAGTAAATTTAAAAAATAAAATAAAACAGCTGGGATGTCCCCATAAGAATTTGGTCACCTGGGTCTTGGTCCCTAGGCTGTGGCAGGGTAGGAGGTGGGCTTTCCATATTCCATATCTTTCTGTGTCAGAGACTTTTTGAAATAATAAGCACCAGTTAGAAAGGGGACCCAGGCAGGCTGGGGGCCAGGAAGTGGGGGGGTCCGCAGGCAGACCCCCATCGGGGTCTCAGGGTCTGTGCTGGGGATCAGCAGCTCTGCCTGTCTGCTTGGAGGCTGCTTCCCTCTAAAAGCCCACACTGGGCATGTGCTTCTGTCTTGCCTTTCCCTCCAGTTTTACGTCCCTCCACCCCTACCCTCTCTGCCTTGACCCCACAGCTGCCCTTGGAGTCAGCAGCTGTTTGGCTCACACGGGTGCCCTCCATTGCAAAGAACCTTATTTTCAAAGGGGTCTGGGAGGAGTCGTGTTTCTTCTCCCCAGTAACGGTCCTGCCACGGTGGCATATTGAGTGTGGGGGGACTTTTGGGAGCATGGAGCTTTTTCAGTGCCATGTAGGCGACCTTCCAGGGCCTGCAGTAGTACTGGGAACCAGGCAGGAGAGTAGAGCCTACCTTCCCTACCCTCGGAGAAGCTAAAGGCAACTCAGCCCTTGTGTTATGAGAGCTTTGAGGCTTTGCTGTTGGGAAAGCAATGTGTGGACAGTGGAACGGTGGCTTCTCCCCGCTGTCTGGGTTAGAACCTGGGCTCCACCACTTGGTAGCTGTGTTCGCGAGAACAGGAGACGTGAACTCTCTATTCCTCAGTTGGCACGCCTATGAAGGGGGGATGCTATCAGTATCCTTCAAGAAAGGGTGGTTGTAAGGATTCAGTGAGCACCTGCCACCAGAGTAAGCCCTCTGTGAGCATTAGCCATTATTATCATTGTAGTAATCTGCTGGGCTCCCATGACAAAATGCCGTAGACGGGGTGGTTTCGACAGTGGAAATGTATTTCTCATAGTTTTGGAGGCTGTGAGTCTGAGATCAAGGTGCCAGCATGGTCAGGTGAGGGCCCTCTTCCCACCTTGTAGACACCCACCTTCTTGCTGTGTCTTCATAAAATAGAGAGCTCACATCTCTTCCTCTTCTAAGGGCACTAACCCCATCCTGGGAATCCCACCATCATGAACGCGTCTCATTGGCAGGTAGAGCATCAGCATGTGAGTTGGGGAGGGGGGAGACATAAGCATTCAGTCCATAACAATCACTGTTATTGTTGTTGTCATTTATTAGCCCCCTTGCAGGACTTACTTAGGTTTGCAGCGACCTCTCCTGTGGAAGGAAGGAAGAAATGGGGACAGTCCTTTTGTCTCCAGTGAGGTCTTCAAGTCCACGGTGGTGGGTCTTGAGCCTTCTGGAAAACCCCTCTTACAGTGTTATATTTCCCTTTCCTTTTGACCTTCGGGAAAAGGCTCCTGGTTGTCCTAGGCTGGAAGAGGGGAAGGAAGAAAAGTCAGATTTGGTGGCTGCTTCTCTGGGCCAGGCAGCTGGGTGCAGAGGGCTCACACCACCGACTCCACAGCACCCTGTGTTTTCAGCACTGTTATTCCCATTTACAGAGGGCCAGGCCTTCAGAGGCTCCAGGCAGGGAAACGCCACTGTCTAAGGTCACACTGCAAGAAGCTGCAATAAAGTGTGCACCTTGAGCCTTTGGGTTCCCACACCCTTGCAGCCGGGGGATGGAGCAGCCACAGGACCAGGGCAGGACTGGGATTGGGATGGATTTGGAGGGTGCCACTGGTGCAGGGAAAGGCACACTTTGGGCCTTCCTGCCCTGAGTGGTGCTCCCTTGCTGGGGCTGGGCAGTGAGGCTCAGACCCCGGAGCCCCTCAGCCGGTGAATGCTGCCCCCACGCCTCTCCCACTCCAGGCACCGAGAGTGGGGTGGGCGGTCTCTTGTGAAGTGTGCTAACCCAGATTGTGTTTTCTTCTCTGCTCTTGTCCTTCCCCAGCCCCTAAAGACAATGAAGAGCGAGTGTTCAGGGAGCGCATGCGGCCCAGGAAGCGTCAGGGGGCCGTCAGGCGCAGGGTCCACCAGGTCAACGGCCACAAGTTCATGGCCACCTACCTTCGGCAGCCCACCTACTGCTCTCACTGCAGAGATTTTATCTGGTAAGGCCCTCTCTCCCGGGAACTTCTAGCTATGCCTTCTCCGAGGCAAGGAGTCGGGGAAGCGGTGTCGGAGAATAGAAACTTTATTTTTAAAGCGCTGATGTGCTTTATGTCCTCTATTTGATTGGAGAAGACTTTTCTGGAAGGCTAAATGAATGTTTAGTGCTTGGGAAGGGGAGATAAATGGGAAGAACAAACCATGGTTCCTGGTGACTTAATACTTAGAATCATATCACATATCACATTTAAGGAGTTAAAAGTTTATAACTAGTAATGGTATATTGTGATGTTTTTTTTTTTTAAGAATCCTTCTCTTTTAGAGACACAAGCTTAATTATTTACAAATCATGTGTCTGGGATTTGTTTAAAAATGATCTGGAAGGAGAGGACAGGGGCTTGGGGTAAAGGACATAATACTGGCCACGTGTTGATCATTGTTGGAGGTGGGTGATAGACCCGTTACATTTATCTCTTTATTTTTGTATACATCTGAGTTTTTCCATTATAAAGCCTAAAAAATACTTGATTGCCAATACCTGTAATTCCAAGCAGTTGTTAATAACTGTTCTAACAGTGGTGCTACCAGGGTGGCCAGATTTCAGAGGAGTGAGAGAAGAGCATTGGCTGGAGTGCTCAGGGAAGGCTTCCTAGAGGAGGTGGCATTTCTTTTTTCATGATGACTGGGATTTGGTAGGCAGAGACAGGTTGTAGGCCTTTTGAGGAAGTGGAGAAGGATAAGGGGCACTTGCTTGGGTATTGGGGGGATTTTAAGGAATACCTACCATGTGCCAGCCTTTCTCTTAGGCACTGAAAATGTCTAATTCAATCTTCCCAGTGTCCTACAAGCTTTGTATTATCAAACCCAGTTCATTAACAACAGTGCCGAGGCTCAGAAATGAAAACAAGACTAGTCTGGCATCCCCCAGGTATGAAGTGTCAGAGGCCCGACGGAAAGCTTTTTCTGACATCCCACCAGCCTTTCTGGCAACCTCTCTGAGCTCTTGAAGTTTGCCAGTATACTTGGATCCTGTGTGGCGGAGAAAGAGTGAGGCCAGTCTGCAGCATGGATCATGCCAGGGAATGTTTGAATTGGACTCTGAGGACCCCCCGGATTCCCAAGGTGTCCAGGAGTGGCTTGTCTTGTCCTTGTGGTTTTCCAGGACTAGCCACCGAGGTTGGCATGGGCATCTGAGGCAGTGCAGATCAGAGCAAACTCGACTCGATGGAAGCAGAAATAACACCCCACTCCCACCCACAGATACATTTCACCCCCAAGGCTGCTTCTGCCCTCTGACCTCCATTTTCTGTATTTCGGTCATAAGTTGTGTGTTTGGAGGGAGTAGGCTGTGAGTGCTGAGATTTATGGATTCAGCTCTCCTCTGAGCCCATGGTGAGCTCCACGGGGCTCTAGGCTTCCTGAGGCACTGCCCCCAAGTGGCGTCTGGCTGCTCTTGCTGGGCTGGGAATTGCAGATTGCCCCCTGGCCATTTGGTGGTGGTTCACTGAGGACAGGGCCCAGGCCAGGTTGGTTGGATTGTTCTGTGTCCATTGGTCCAGATGGTCCATCTTGTCCATCCATGCTGACCCAAACCCTGCTCCAGGGAACCCTACGCCTGCCATGGAGGGAACCTCTAACATTGGCCTTCACCACAGAGTACACTGAACCCCTAGTCCTGGCCACAGGCTGACCTGGAACTCTTGACTGCTTCTGGAATGCCCAGGAAATGTATCTATAAGCTGCAGCCTGCCTACATGATTACCCACAAGGAACAGCACGTTTGACTAATCAAGGCCTGCCTTGAGCAGACAGAGTCTTTGTGGCTTTCCAGAACACTAATGGCCCCACTGGAATGGCTGTTTGTCTAGGGAGCCAAGACCTGATACTGACCAAACTCTATATTCATCCCAAGCACTGGGTCTACCCTCTGATGCCAATTTTAAAGCACCCTGCAAGTGGGCGTGAAACCACTAGCTGGTCCTCCCGTGTACTCAGTGCATTGTGGGTGGTGGCCAGAATGGGGTGGCTTTGTATGGTTTTTGACCTGCTAAATTTTATTAAAAGGTTGTATTCTTCTTTTCAGGGGTGTCATAGGAAAGCAGGGATACCAGTGTCAAGGTAAGAGACATTGTATGAACTAAATCCTTGGGGGCCCACAGGCCTATCGGGATCAGTGACACGGGAAGCGTGTGCTGGGTTTGACAACATTTGAAGGCTCCATACTGTTTGCCTGCTTATGGTCCCTCTCTGAGAAGCAAGACCCTGCTCTTCTTTGTCCCTGCCTGGCCCTGGCTCCTGCATTCACATATGAGAGCAGAGTACCTGGGGGTGCCACCCGTCTCCAGGTGTCCTAGGGGTCTTAGCATCTTTCCTGGTGAGACACAATAGTGCCCTTTGGAGGCCCCACTCTACAAGGAGCTGGGCTTTGTGTCTCCTGTCTGCTCCCTCCTTCTCTCGCTCCCTGGAGAAGTTCCCTCACCTCGTTTCACTCCTATCACCCAATGGCCCTTGCTGATTCTCTTTTTTTAGTGTCTACTGTGGAATCTTTAGCTCGTAAGCATTTAAGACTCACTTGAAGTTACTGCAGATTGTTTATTTCTGGTTCTTTGGCAAAAATGCTAGGTCAGGTTGTCCAGGACTGGAGGGTGGATATGCGCTTGTGGTCATGTCAGCCACTGGTTAAGTTGGGTCTCACCCCTGGGGAACTTGGATAGGTTCTTTTGGACCTTCCCATGTCCTTAGGATATCACGTGTACAAACAGTTGCTTACCTCTTCCACCACACTGCCCCATGACACTGATGACACAGCTACAGGCCGCTATGAAATTAAACAAAAATGTTCGGCACGTAAGGGCACAGCCAGATCAAAAAGCTTAGGAACTCCTGTGCCACAAGACATCCATTCCCCTGCTGCAGTGTTTGCTATCGCAACATTGACGTTCCAGAGTGGACCACAAGGCTGCTGCAGTACCTTTAATAGACCTGCTTCACGGAAGGGAAACTGTTCCCTGACCTTGGCGTAAAGAAGCAGGGAAATTGATCGGTACTTCTGGAACTAGAGAAAAGTGCTGACGCCCTCTGGGTGTGAGTGGTGCATTCTTCTCCAGAACATTTAGGAAACCCTAATGGCTCTGATGGCAAAGTGCTTTGAAATGACGAAGCATGAAGGGCTTCAGCCAGGATATTACTTTAAGACTTGATGACAGAAGGGGCGTGGCTCCCCTCAGCCCTCTGCTCAGAGCTGAATCTTGGGTTGGGCACCTCCCTACCCCCCACTTGTTGCTCAGCCTTCCGTTTTTTGCTGTTTGCAGTTTGCACTTGCGTGGTCCACAAGCGATGCCATGAGCTCATAATTACGAAGTGTGCGGGATTAAAGAAACAGGAAACTCCCGACGAGGTAACTATTTCTAACATTGAAATTCTGGGCTTTCTTCTCTGCCACTCCCACCCTCCCCTGCCTCCTCCAGGTTCCCTAAGAAAATCCTTGTCTCTCTGAGCTCTCCTTGCTTTCTTCCTTGTGTTTGATCAAAATTAAAGCAGTTGTCTACAGCCTTCCAGCGTGAGGCACACTCTGCAGAATGAGCGTGGCTCAGAGTCAGGTTCGCGTCTCTGGATGTTGTGCCAAGAGCCGTGTGACCCCAGAGCTAAAGCCTGTGAGGAAAATGTGAATTGGTTTATGCCATTATCTCATTGGAACGGAAAAGTAGCTAGCTGACATGTCAGTAGCTCCACACTGTTTATAAACAGTGTGAGACAATGCACAAGCAAGAACCTTTCTTTATGAGGTGATGGGGGAACGGAGTAGAAGCAGCAGACCCAAGAAACACTAAGGAGGTGGAAATAGCCACAGTAATAATAAGAGCCAACATTCACTGGGTACTTCCCATGTCCCGATTTCAGTACTTCATCGAATATTATTTAATCTCATAACAGTTTTAATGAGATCAATGCACTTACCATCTTCATTTTGCAACAAAGAGAGTAGAAGCACAGAGGGGTCAAATTAATTTGCCCCAGATCACACAGCTGCTATGTGAAAGAGCCCCATTCAAACCCAGATGGTCTGTTCTAGAAGAGTCTGAGCCCTTGACCGCCAGACTTCATTGTCTCTTATCCTTACCAACTAGTATTGGATTGGTTATTAGGGAAGGTCGCTAGGGGTAAGGAAGCAAGGTGATTCAACAGTGAAGGTAGAGTCCTCCTAACTAAGCAAGTGGGAGAAGAGCGTGACTGAGAGTTTGGATGTTATCTGTGTTCACAACAGTTGATTTCAAAGGCATGCTTTTAATTCTTGGTGAAATAAATACAGTTATAATCATAGGACATTAGAATTGGGGGTCAGAGAGACCCTAGGTGGCTTCATAATCAAGTGGATTTTTAATGTGTCTTCCAAAAGGAATGACTTACAGGACCTTCTACTCCTTAAATAATTCAACCAAATGGCATCCTTGCATCTGAAGCATCTCCTATCTTTCATTTCCCTTTGCTTTCACGCGGTCTCCAGAGAGCAGCAAGGGACGAAGCTTGGGTGAAATCTTCCATGTCCCCGAGGGGCAGGCAGCCCAGGGTAGAACCTTCCATGTCCCCAAGGGGCAGGCAGTCCAGGGCACTGAAGTTGTTTGCAGGAGCTTTACTGTCATGGTGGAAACTGCAGGTCGTCCCTACCTGGGCCTCCTGGCTCCGGCACCAGGATCATAACCCGAATAGATTGTCACCCTTGTTACTCTTCTGGTAAATGAGAGATACTTGGCTGGCTCGCTGTCCATCTCTGTTCCTTCCTCCGGACAGTCCTCTGAGCACTGCCTGTATACCAGCTACTGTACATGTTCCTCAGAACCAGGAGGAACACACAACTCCTGCCCTCCAGGATCTCACAGGTTTCATCCACTGAGAGCCCCTGGATATTTCTCCAGCTTTTTCCTGTCTCCTTGGAGAGAAAAAGTCTCACATGAGCCCTCGCCATGAGGGTTAGAGGGTTGAGATTTGACATACCCACAGCAGCTTAGTCTGTGACCGAGTTCTTCTGTCTTTCCTGGCATATTGGCAGTGAATCGAAGTCACCGGTGAGGTGTGTTCCCACACTCGGCGTGTCTCCCAAGGGAGATAAGTTGTCAAGGCTTGAGGACGGGGGCTGTGGGCCGCTGCTCCCAGGACCGGTCTCCCTTAGCACTGGTGTACTGCAGCATACCTGGGCGACCGACATGCCCTCTGCCCAATATAGCACTGCTGGGGAGCATCCTTCGAGCTCATTTTTCCCCCCATAACTGCCTGCATGTGCATACACACGTGCACACACGTAGCTTTAAACACCAAATGTCTAGGGTCTTCCTCTGATCAGATGCTTTGGAACTTGGACACCGTGAGCACCCAGCTGGCGTTCTCTCCCTGTTTTGCATCCGGGGGTTAGCACTCCTGACACCCCTCTCCCCGCACTTCTGAGCGTGGTGACCAAGGAAAGCTCTCCTTCGTGTTACCTTCCCTCCTTCACTTTTTAACCTTCTAGTTTTGTCTTTCTGCTCTTTTCTTCCTCCCCATGAGCTCCGGGTTGGTTTCGCTCGCCCGTTTCTGGTCTTCCTTGGTAGAGTGGTGTGTGCACAGCTGGGCCCTGATGCGTGCGCTCTCATGCCCGTTTCGCAGCCTCTCTGATTCTGTGGCTCTTGCACGTGCCCCACCCACCTCCCACCATTCTCCGACACCTTCCGGTCCTTAGGGAGCCCAGCTGAGAGTCACACAGCTCTCCCCACCCCTCCCTGAACTTCCTAGTTCCTGGATAACCTTTGTCTGTCACCCATATCCCTGTGAGGCTCGTCCTGGGACCCACGACCCTGTTCTCCACGTAGGTCCACCACATCTTCAGCATTTGCAGGAAGAGGGTGGGTACAATGATGTACATCCTTCGGGGTGGGCAGGCACACATAGAGGTGAGGTGACTATATTCACTAATACATACACCTAAGCTATGCATCTAAGGAGGGGTGGGCGCAATTGTTTTCAGTAAATCAGGGGATCTTGTACTGGGGCAAGACCCTAATTGATAGCCCATGCGTCTCTAGCTGGGGTCAGTAAAATTCTGGCCCACTGGAAGAATCAGACTTTCTGTGCCTTGCTGCGAAGGCGAGTGACCCTGAGTGCGTGTGCGTGTGCACAGGCACGCCTCCACATTTGTGCTCAAGTCTGCATCCACACCTTTGTCATGTCTGTGTCTCGCTTTCCCCCGTTTGATGCTCCCCCTCCCATGGGGGCCTTTCATTCACCAGTCCGCAGCGAGCCAAGGACAGCTTCTTTGCGGCCTGCTTTGTACCCCCTGATTCCCAATGTAACAAGAGCGACTTTCTTCCCAGTCCATGGGGTCTCAGGTGTTGGTCCCTGCCCGTTTTGAGGGGGACCTGGTTCATGTGGCTGCTTCGCTAGGGACATAGGTGGAGAGTGGCTCCACGGAGGGGCACAGGAGACCCAAAATGGTGGACCATGCTGATAACCCCTCATTTCCGTGTGTCTTGTCCACCCCACAGCCCTGTGACATTAGGTGGGATAGGGGGTGCTGTCCTTATTTGCCCAGGTAAGGAATCTGCAGCCCCGTGAAGTCACGGAACTTGTCCAAGACCTCACGGCTGGTTGGTGGCGGACCCAGGCCTGCAGATCAGGTTCCCCGACTCATCCTCCAGTCCTTCCCCATCCGTCTTGCCACCTTGTCTTTACCCCTTTTCAGTAACGGGTAAGTGGCAACAGAGTAGTTAAAAGGCCTGGGCTCTGAATTCACACTTGTGGGCATCAAATCCTGGCTCTGCCACTCCTCAGCTTCCAGGCATGCTTCTTAATCTCATGCTGCCTTAACTTCCCCGTCTGTAAACTCAGGCTAATGATGGCATCTAGCCCGTAGGTGCTGGTGAGGCTTCACTGTGATGGTAGTGCCTGGCCTGTGGCCAGCACTGGTAGCTTAGTGCCCGTAGTGGTCACGACTCTGCATTAGCATTCCGTACCACAGTGATTGTCCCAATGGATGGCCGACAGTCTCCACAGCTGTGCTGGGTTTTCAGGGTGTTTATGGAATCCGCGCACCATCAAGCTGCTGAAAGACTGCCCAGGTGCAGCTTCCATGCCCAAAGCGGCATTGAAAAGCACACGGCGACATCTCCTCAAAAGCCAAAACATGAGGTACGAAGTGGGTGCTGTGCACCGTGAGAGTTTGAAGCCTGCGGTCCTGGAGGGACCACACAGGGGAGCAGGCCTGCCCTCGCAAGGTCAAACCGATAGGTTGAGAATGAGTTACAGGCATCAGGAGCAGAGGTCCAGGGAGGTTCTCTTCACCTCGTTTGTCAGGGAAGCTTCCAGAGCCCCGCTCGGACCTGGCCCCCTTCAGCGGTCATGCCTTCTGGGAGCTCCAGCACTAAGCACGCCGGGCTGTGAATGAGCTTGGCAGTGACCCTGTGTTTTGCCGTCCCTGCAGGTGGGCTCCCAGCGGTTCAGCGTCAACATGCCCCACAAGTTTGGTATCCACAACTACAAGGTCCCCACCTTCTGCGACCACTGTGGGTCCTTGCTCTGGGGCCTCTTACGGCAGGGTTTGCAGTGCAAAGGTAAGGCGCCCCATGCCCTACCCTCACCCTTCCGTACTCGCGTGTCCCCTTGGTCTCCTTTTTGAAAAATCTTTGTTCCCCAGTAAGTTCCAGGTCTGGCCAGAGGACTGAGCCCAAACCCTTATTTGGCTCTTATTAGTTACTTGTGAATTTGTTAAACAATCGCCATGCAGATGGCGGCCAAAGAAACTCCACAGAGCGGATGTGGAGGGGGGAGGTGTGCTTCTTCCATCAGGACCATGAACAAGGCAGAGCAACACGATGAGTCCATAAAAGTGTAGAAATAATTTAAGGAAAAGATAGGTTGGAGCAGAGGAGAAAGAAATATTTCTGGAGAGAGGACCCGAAAGAAGTAATACCTTGTCACGATCCATGGTTCCGAGCTTACTCTTGGGAGGAGCCATGTTAGGACCCTATCACCTAAGACGTCTTATTGATCCTTCATAGGTCTGTTCCATAGGTGATATTATTCCTATGACCCTGAGGCTCAGCAACTAAGTAACTTGCTCATGCCACACTGATTATGAGTAAAAATAAGGTTTGAACCTTGACTCTTGAGCCTCGACTTCCTTCCTCTGTTTCCTGTTGTCCTGCTCATGAATTGTCTTCTGTTCGGATGAGATGGGTAACAATACATAATAATGTGGGGAGGAGGGAACATGCTCTGGGGATCTGAATGGAGTGCTTAGTTTCATGGGCTGGTCCAGTTGGCATGCAGCATTGGACATTCATGAACTGTTGGGATTTGTACTGAATATATTATTAATAAATTCCCACTACGGAAAAATTAAAGGTAAAGGATAAAAAGGAAACTGGAGGCCATGAACAGGCCAGTCATTAAAGGATCCCAATGAGAAATTATGAGGACTGGAAACAAAGTTTATAGGTGTAGAGGGAATAAAGAGAAGGAGAGTAACTTAAGAGATACTGAGGAGTGATTTATTGGATGTGTGACCAGATCCAACTGGGAGGGCAGTGACACCATTCACTGAGAGGAAATAGGAGAGGAGATCAGGCTAGAGGCAAAGATGGTGGAGTTGAGTTGAGGACATATTACCTTTGAGGTGACTGTGTGAAATCTACCAGAGCTAACTTTTGGGCGTTCTCATTGAAATTTGGGGTGAAGGCTATGGTGAGCATCCAGACTTGGGATTTGTCAATGTAGTAGTTAAAGGTATAGTAGGTAGTACTTAAAGCTATAAAGTTCATCCCTGGAAGAACCTGAGCGTCGAGAGAGAGGGTAACACCCTGAGGTTTGGGGGAGGAAGGTTACCAGCATTCGAGGATGAGCCTGCAGAGGCTATGGTGGGACTTCAAAGGTAGGAGGAAAGGTCTTGAGGAAAGGCATCGCGGAAGACAAAGAGGGAGAGAGTATTTAAAAATGTTCAAAGGAAGTGATAAGTGGCGCCAGATGTTTCCAAGAGGTCATTCAAGGTAAGAAGTAGAACATGGAGTTGGATTTAACTCTCAGGAGGCCTCTAGTGACCTCCTGACAGGAGGTGTCTTGGTGGGATTGAAGGCCAAGTGTGGAGGCTGTAGATGAAGTATTTTCAGAATGTTTTAAAAAAAAGGTAATGAGGGAAAAGACCGTGAGAATAGGAGAGATTAGTGAGCTGGGAGGGAGAGGAGTGGGCCTTGGGGAGAAAGATGGACACCCCTCCTGCCAGGTGGACAGGAAGCCTCGAGGCCAGGCACAGGTGCGGATGTGTTTCCTGTGTCAGGGGTAGGAGGTGAGGACACAAGGTGACCCTTTAAGTTCTGACTCTGTTGAGGGCATTGCGCGAGAGTCCCCTTGTCTTCTGAACGAGGAGATCCCTTTCGAAGTCGAGGTAAGGAGTGGGTGGAGGGTGTGAGAGGTGGTGCATGTTGGAAGCAGCTATGCTGGAGACCGAGGGCACCCTGATTAGGGGCAGGAGGAAGTTCTGGCTGTCCACACATCTGTCCTGGGTGAGCTCTCCAGACTTTCAGACCAGCATTCCCGCACACGACCCTGAGACAAAGAAGCAGGGCCTGCCCGAAATCCTTCTTGACACTAAGTGACATCAAAACAGTGGAAGAGGAGGGAGTGAGTGGAGCAGGACTCTCGAGTGTTGTTGGCAGAGGAGTGATGCTTTTAGGGACTGTTGAGTGGGGTTGCCGGGAAGCACAGAGCTGCTTTGGATGCCACTCTGATAAGGCCATGTCTGGGTTTCAGTAAATATATTACTGACTGATCAATGTGGGGAATCTAAATGAAAATACCATCATCTCATAAATATTGACATCTTAAGAAAGCCTCCCAGGCACCCAGATGTCACTGCCAGGGCTGTAGGGTCCCTGGATGACCCTAGAAGAAGGCAGGACTCAGAGACGTGTATTCAGCTGTTTTGGCAGGAAACGCTCTCATGCCAGCTCAAGCAGAGGAAGGGGACAAGTGAGGCTACCTACAGCAAGGATACCTGTTCCCAGGAGCCCAGAGCAGCGGATGGGAGGCAGGCCACACAGACTTCAAGGCCAAGGCTGTCAGAATATAGGGTCCCCAGCACACGTTCACAGGTCTCCCCTCTCCTGTTCCCCTGTTACCGTGGTGTGGTCACTCCCTCTTACTCCTTCCCTATCCTGGCTACCTCTCCCCCACCCTTAATTAACAGACTATTTTTAGAGCAACTTTAAGTCTATAGCAAAAGTGAGAGAAATGTACAGAGACTTCCCATATACCCCCTGCACCCACATACACACAGCCTCCCCACCATCAATGTGCCCCCCACCAGTGGTACGTTTGTTACAATGGCTGAGCCTCCATTGCCACAGTAGGACCCTGGGGACCCAGTGTCCCTAGCTTTCATTAGGATTCACTCTTAGAGTTGGACATTCTTTGGGTCTTGACAAATGTACAGTGACCTGAATCCACCCCCATGGTATCTACAGAATGCTTTCCTTGCTCCAGATCTCCTGTGTTTACTTCTCCCTTTTGATCCTTTCTCAACCTCATGTCTTTTTGCTCCTGTGGACCCCTTACCCTGTAGGGAGGGTAATGGTCTGAAGAGGCCAGCAGGATTCAGAGCAGGGGCCCCTCTTGCCTGGGTCTGAGTCTGGTTCTGCTGCTATGATTGCTAAAAAAAAAAAAAAAAAAAAAAAAAAAAAAGAAAGAAACCAGGAATTAGAGACCTGCCCAGGGGCCTAGAGCACGTTCCTGTGGGGCCAGAGCTTACCCCACCTGCCTCCGATCTCTGCTCCATGCCCTCTCCTGCTCTGGAAGCCTCCATCAGGTTCCCACCTTCGCTGGATCATGCTGGCTTGGTCCCCTAGGCTGGGGCCCTGGTCCCCTGGCCCATGCCTTCAGCTTTGTTGTCCCCCTCCTGTGAATAGGGTCACGAATTTTCAGTGAAACCGTTTTCTTGAGAGCTTGGGTCTACAGGGAAGGACCCACGGGGCTGTCTTGGTTGTCTCCCTTCAGCCTTAAATTGCCTGAGCCCTGTGGGTTCATGGGTTGTGTGTGTATTCCCCTAAAGACCGTCCCTCTGTCGGCCGGGTAGAGGGAACATAACCACCCTGTTTTACTGGTGGGGGATGGAGAACTGGAGTGCACGAGGAGGATACAGGCAGGGACCCACAGGGACCCACCTCTGTCCTCTGGGCTGCCCCCTCCCCGCCCACGGCCCGGAGGCACTGGACCCTAAGGAGGACACTCACCAACACTTGTTGGGTAACCGAGCTCCTTAGTAAAGGGTAGAAAAACACCAGCACTAAGTACGCAGACAAAACATTTCATCCCTTTTTTCTTAGGACTCAAGTGCCCGTAGAGTTTGCGTCTCTCTCCGGATTCATTCATGGGTCTGCCTGAGCACCCCAACCACTGTTAGACCAGAAACTGGCTTCAGACATTCAGAGGCCAGCATCACTAAGCCCCTGAGGCATGTGAATCCTTGTTCTTCACTTTACTTTTAAATGTTTATCAATTTTTGAGAGACAGAGAGAGACAGAGCATGAGTGGGGGAGGGGCAGAGAAAGTGGGAGGCACAGAATCTGAGGCAGGCTCCAGGCTCTGAACTGTCAGCACAGAGCCCAACGTGGGGCTCGAACTCATGAACTGCGAGATCATGACCTGAGCCAAAGTCACACGCTTAACTGACTGAGCCACCCAGGTGCCCCAATTCTTCACTTTATTTTAACTGCTCAGCTTCCCCAATGTGACCTCACCTGCACCATGAACCTCTCCAGCCCCTTTTGCACCTGTGTTTTATTTTTCCATTGACACATGGACTCAGTCCCCCTGGAGGGAAAGACACCTAATACCTTATGATTTTTCTTTTCGTCTCTGAAGAAGATACACATTCTCACCTTCCTCGTAGCCTGCCTTCCATTTCTCTTCTGCCCACGATCCCCCACACTCACATCTTCCAGCACAGCTGCCCTGAAGTCATCGGGCACTGAGGAGCAAGGCAGCAGAAAGCCAGATCCGTCTACACTGCTCACAGTGTGCCCTGCAGGGACCTGCAGAAGCGCTGGCGTTTTGTCATCCCCATGTGAGGTGGGCCCCCTGTGCCTGCATGTCCATTCTGATTGCATCTCTGTCCCCAGGCAGGGGTGACGGTACCCTGGGGGAAAGTCTGGCTGGGAGATTCCCAAAGAATCCTCCGGGCTCCCTGCCTTTCTCCGAGATCCCATCTTAATAACCGCCCTGCTCTGAGGCTGCTTTCATGGGCTAAGGAGCCAGAGTATCACTTACTCTCCAAGAAGTGATGAAGAATGGGTCAATTTGTTTGGGGACAAATGACCTAGGGGAGTTGTGGCCCATCGAGATCACAGGGTTAGAGTCTTGGAGGCTGTTTCGGTCCTGGTTCTATTATCTCCTGGCTGAGCAGTTGCAGGAGTCACTCTGGCTTGGTGACCCTGGGCTTGCTTCTAATCTCAGCTGCCCTCCTGCCTTCTGGGAAGTGCAATGAAAATGGTGAACTGAGCCACCTTTGTGGCGTACTTTGGGGAGTGGCTGTGGGGAGCCAGAAAGACCAGAGAAAGGA